GCTGCCGCCAGCCCCGCTGCTTCCCTACGCTCGCCCTTCCCTTCCTCAGCCTGAAATTGTTGTGTTTTTTTCCGGCCAGGAAGAGTTTGAGGCGTCGCGGCAGGCAGCAGCGTGCAGGCAGGAGCAGGCAGGGCTGTGGCTGCTGTGCCCTGGCCAGGCGATGCCAGTCACAGCCCCCAGCAAGTGCCCGGAGTCATGGGCACCCCAGGGTTTTGGCGAGGGTTTGCCAGGAGGGGGCTGTGAGACAGGGCGTGGAGGGCCCTGTGCCGGCCCTGGCATGGCATATGAGGGCTCCAGCACCCGGGCGGCTTGGGGGGGGGGGATTCAGGTCCTCTGGGGTCTCTGCGCCAGGCTGTGCCTCAGTTTCCCTCGACTGTGTAGTTCCCAGCCTGCCTGGGCACAGAGTGAGTCCTTGCTCTTGGGGTGCTTTGCAAGGCCTGGGGATGATGCAACCCTCCAAAGGGAAAGTCATCGTCTTTCTATCCTCGTTTAATCCCCCCTGTGCTGCCCCTTTTCTGCTCAGCTGCCCACAGCCTGCCCACCTCGCTACTTCGTTTGCTCCTGACGAAGGTGCTGGGGAGGAGGGCAGTGCCGTGCCCCAGCTCCGCTCTGGCCAGCGGGGAGAAAACCCTGCGGCTTCACGGTGCAGACAGCCTGTCTCCGGCGTATCGACCGGCCGGGTAGAGCCTCGGGAGACCATTTCTTGCACAGGGTTTCCAGCACCCGGTTCAGAGATGAGCGGGTCATCCCGGGCTGGCTGTCATCGCCTGGAGCTTCTCCCAGCTCACTGGGGCCACATCCTGTGGGTGGGGGCGCATTGGTGGGAGCACGGCTGTGTTCCCCCCCCAAGCCACGCTGACTCGTCTGTCTCCGCAGGTCCTGCCAAGGGCGAGGCCGAGAAGCGGCTGAGTGTGCAGTACACGTCGAGCGAGGAATGCCCCGACAACGTCTTCTTCCCCAGCACACGGCCCCCGCACCTGGAGGAGCTGCACAACCAGGCTCAGCAGGGACTGAAGTCCTTGCAGCACCAGGGTAAGTGTCCCCAGCACCCGTGTGGCCTGGGGACACAGAGGGCACAGCTGGCCGGCCCCAGCTCCTGGCTGGCTGGGCTGCGTGGGCGGTGCGATGGGGCTGACCAGAGTCCAGCACTGGGGCTGGCAGCGGTGGCTGGGGTGTGCGGGCGGCAGTG